AAACGCACGGTCCGCTCCGGTGAAACGCTCCATCGCGACTAAATTCCCAGAAACCGAAGTTACTGCCCCCGCTTCCCCTGCACCGCTCACGCGCGCCGTTTTCGTTTAATTCAAATTTTACTTTTCTAAGGACTTTTGGGTCACCCTGTACATGAAACTTAGAATTGCAAAAAAGCTGATTGCCCCTTTGGATAGAAAACGATAATTGTCGCTAGTGGACGTCATAGATACTCCTCATATTTTTGGAGACTATGATGTTATGCCTCCATTCTAAGTAATTTTATTGCTATAATTCGAATCTTTCCATTGAAACACAGCTGTTTTACAGCAGAATTACAGGTAGGATAGAGTTGCCTATGGAAACTTTTTGGTAAAAATCAGGTTTATAAATATCGATCAGAAGTTTGAAAAAAAAACTTTAATTTATTTTTTTTAATATGTGATAATGGAATGGCAGCCCCACCCGCGCTACCGGTATACACCGGAGGGGCACCAGTGAAGGATGATAGGTGAGGATGAAGCAGGTCAGTTAGCCCATCGTGACGAATTCAACAAAAATTCTTCACGATGGTTTCCAGGGGGAATCACGTGGACGTCGACCTAATAGGGCATACTGTTCGCAATAGGGCATTCAAACTCCATTGCTAACAATTCCATTCCCTCCAACGATAATGTATTTGATATTAATTAAGATGTAACTGAAAGAAACCTTACCATTAGGAAAAGTAATTGACCCGAACAACTTTCTTAAAGTTGGAAGGTTGGAATACAAAAAAGTAATACTTCATAAAAAGTGCGCGATCATGCTGGAGAAAGTTATTCAGTTTGGCGAATAGAGAGATTATAATAGTGAATTTAACGTATTAGCTTTCCATCATCATCAAGATACAGCATTGACACCGCTGGGTATGGATTCTTTCTTATAATAGCAGGACACAATCACAGGGTTTGTCAGCAGTTTTTGTATGTTTGTACGTTTGTTCACGCAACAACTGCTGCACCAAATTGATATGTTTCTGGATTTCCTTAAAATATGGTGTATACTTTAATTGAATTGGTTATCAAAAAATGGTCATTTAACCCAAAAACCACGTATACGAAGTTGCGGACAAAGCTAGTCTTCACAAAGTTTCACGTTAGTCAATCCCGATGAGTTTACAGTTTTTTTGTGCAATTTAGAATGGCAAACAAGTTGACGACCTACCTGATGGAAAGCAGTAACCGTCGCTTATAAACATGAGCAGTACCATCAACATAATAGAGTATAGTGTTTCGTCCATGATACTTCCTATGCGTTGCCATTCCTGAGATCTAAGGTGTTACTCCTTTGTACCCTGTAAATTCACTGCCATATCCCACCCTTCAAATTGAAACACAGCCAAGCAAACACAACTGTTTCGGTAGAAACACGAATAGGACAGAGGTGCCCAAGCAAACGACTTTGGTATAAAGTCTTCCTCTGGTAAAACTAAATTAACTGCATTCCATGAACATGTAGATATTGTTGAATTATTTAGTTATTATAATGTCTAGTTAAGAGTTAGGGACGCCGTCTGTGTATAAATCGGTATAAAGCAACATCTTGTCCATTCAGCAAGATAGCTAATTTGCTTAGTACAATTACCCGTTTTATTGCAGCAGAAGCCACTTTGTGGGTACACAAATGGCTGGCTTAATGTGATATAATTCACTACTGGTTGGTTACGTTGATAGCGTTAATAAAACAATAAAGATTTAAATATGAAATTTTACAGTTAGCATTTAGCCCTCTACTTCGTATGCTTGGATTCTAGAAGAAAAAAACTAATAATAGATATAAAGCCTCTGGTTGGCATATGATTTTGCCGTGTGGTCCCGGCATAAAATAGACCACCCCTTCCTTTCCTGTAGGGGTCGTAAGAGGTAGCTAAGGGAAATTAATGGTCGAAGGATGGGCAGCAGTATTTTTCTTAGAAAATCACTAAAATCTAACTGTGGTTGCCAATTCGTCTGCCAAGCATGGCATGGAGGTTTGTGTTCAGTAGTGAATAGTAAACGGCTGTTATGATGATAATGATGATGATGGCATATCAAGTTAAAATATGCCAAACTTACTATGTTTGTCGTTTCCGACAGTTGTTTCGACTTCATCCGGAAGCCTTCTTTAGAAGGAGTACGGCGTTTTACGTCACAGCGTCTCGTCCCGTGCATATGTTTTAAAAATAATATAATTTCATAACTGATTGATACCTGCTGCTGATTTTCACCACCGTACAACCCGCCACTAAAGTTTCATCCCAATCATCTAGACGAATGGTGGTCTTCCACCGTGCGTTTTTCAAGGCACTTTCTTTCACGCACAACCATTCTTTGGAATCAACTTCCAGCAGCAGTATTTCCGAACCGATACTGCAACATAACCTTTAAGAAAAGAGTATATTCCTTTTTAAAAGGCCGGCAGCACAATTGCAATGCCGCTGGTGTTGTGGGTGATCATGGGCGGCGGAAGTTACTTACCATCAGGTAAGCCGCATGCTCGTTTGTCCCCTGTGTTGTAAAAAAAAACTGACGGTAAATTACAGCTGCAGGCTGAAATTAGGCTGCAATTAGTGCTGTGGTATTCGGTCTGTGTTGTAAAATTGGTAACTAATAGGGTAAACGTTATATTGTCTCCTACCACGGTAGTGGGGCAATATTGAGTCCATTTTTTTCTTATAGATATAAAAACAATTTTATTTCTCAGAATATCAGTATTTTGCTCTTTTTAGGGCAAAGCAATAAGCTGAGTTGTGACCATTTTGTGTTACTGTGGACACACGCATGAAGGGGAAAATTGTTACATTTTTTATACATTTTGTTTTTTTTTTTTATTTTTGGTACAAGTATCTTTTTTTTTATCTTTTTTCACTGTGCATTTATGTCTATTGTTGTTTGTGTGCTGTAAGTAATGCAAATAAATTATCTATCTATCTATCTATCTCATGTTGGACCAAACAATACACACTGCACGAGATCGCCATCAAAGAACCTTCGCTTATCAGCTCTTTGAGCTATATGAGCAGCCCATTGCCACTTCAGCTTGCTAGCTAGCTTGCTAGCTTGCAGCTATGAAGGAACGTACGAAAGGCATTGAAAACAAAAATTTAAATATTTTGTTTTTTTATTTTATTATATATTATTAAGCGACTTCTAAAAAAAGGAGATTACCACTTTCCATCAGGTGGGCCGTCAGCTTGTTTGCCATTCTAAATTGCATAAAAAAACTTATTTTAACTTTTGACTTTGTAGTCGTCTCTTTGGGTACCTTCGTCCCATTCGTGTATTCCGTTGTGTTTGTATGTATGTGTTTCGGTTCGAAGGGTGGGATTGGCAATGCATAAAGGGTATCATAGATGACACCATATACTTTGTTATGTCGATGATACAGTACATGTCTATAGGCGACGGTTACTACTTTCCATCAGCTTGTTTGTCATACTAAGTTGCATACAAAATATTCTTCAAGCCACGTAGCCAGATGAGAAACATGTTATATATGTAGATAGTAGGCTAGTATTCTTGTTTAATGGAAAGAGACACGTGTCCACTGGGACGTAAATGCGTTGTTACGTACAGGCGAAGTAAAAAAGTAGTAAAAAGTGGACGACGCAAGAGTAAGGAAAGTATGTTGGTGTATAACTTAGCGGTCACTTGCTATAAAAACTCGACCCGTGCTGGACATTGATTCTAACTGTACATGTAATCACATCAGTTACAGATAATATTATATTATCTGTGGTTATATTTTATTTCAATTTCGATCGCCTTACAGTGCAGTGGTAAGCGTTGCTTTGCCTAAAATTCCGGGTTTGATTTCTATTCGGTACTACAAAACGTATTGAATTGATGCTCGCAAAATATGATCTCCTACTTCTAGAAACTTTTTTATGGATTCCATAGTTAGGATAGTTTCTTTCTAACTGACTTCAAAAACAAGGAGCAAAGTGTTTGTTAAAGTGCATGATAATTCGAATTCCTACAGGAATAAATTGCTGAAGCACTTTGTACAATAATCTAATAAAAATTAACTCTAAATTATCATAATATATATATATTTTTTTTAATATTTTTTAATTTAATTCACTTATAATCATATTTTCTGATATTGCTCACAACTTGGGTTGCATGTTTGTTTTTATAATTTACTTAATTTTCTCGCACTGTACAACTATGTTAAAGTGAATGCTGTGAATACCTATAATAGGCATGTGCATTAATATTGTATTGTATTTAATGTTGTTATACCTATATGTTACAATGCAATATGCTGTTGGTGTTCCTTAAATAAATAAATAAATAAACTCGTTTAGTTGTAAATCGATTTGGATTTTTTTTTTCTGAAAGTATATACTTACAGATTGGTCCCAAAGTATTTTTTTTAATTTAATTTTAGTAGTTAAAACATAAAAATAACTAATTTTGCCACAGTTCAAGTCGGTTTTTTTTTGCGGTACACAATTTTTATTTATATATTATTGTAATGTAAAACATGTAAGAAACGCTAAAGAATGCTAAACGAATGCTAATTGTTATTTCATAGATTCTTCTCTTCACAATTCACGGGTGGATTTAAAACGTACTTCCCTTATAATTCAGTATTAATAATTATTATAATTAGTAACAAAATATATATAATGTATTTATTTATTTATTAGCGCTAATGTAGGATGGTAGCGATAATATTGGATGGAATGAATTATCCACCGACATATTTTTTTTGTGGATGAAAATGGAATGGTAACTCCATCTGTGACATGTATACCAATGCCACAGGTAGTGGGGTTGGTGGTATACACTGGCGGGGTACCAGTGAAGGATGATAGATGAGGATGAAGTCAGGTCGTTTGACTTTTCGTGAAGAATTCACCAAAAAATAATCACGGTTGATACTAGGGGTATAGCGTAAAGGTTGACCTTTATACTGCCGGCCATGGGGCCTCTAGTCCCTATTAGTAAAACTCCTTCATATGTTTGTGTTGCAGTCGAGGTGTCCTGCGGTAATACGGTGCAGAACAACCTGACATACTTCATGTCTCCCGGGTTTCCAGACCTCTGGAACGGGGAGGAAGACTGTGATATCACCATACACAAGGTTACTGAGGGCATCATGCAGCTGAGAGTAGACTTTGTACATTTCACTATCGTAAGTTATTGATTATTACTTATTTACTAATATTTGTCATATAGTGAGGTTAAAGATATGGCCTGGAACTGGACTGAAGCTGGCTGGAAGAAAATGCATGAATTAGTTTCACCGACAATAGGAAACTCTTAAACGAAAACAGATATAATATTTTAAATGTGAAAGTAAGTTTTTTTTTTTTAAATGTATGATAATGGAATGGCAACTCCGCCTGCGCTTTCGGTATACACTGACAGGGCAGTGAAAGATCACAAGTGAGGATGAAAGCAGGTCAGTTAGCCCATCCTTACAAATTCAATTAGAATTAACCGCGACGGTTTCCAGGTGGAACCACGTGGAGGTCTACCTGACACGTAAAGGGACTTTTTCACCCCATTAATAACAATCCCTTTCCCCCTGTTTCATGTTACCACATAGCGGTTTCACAGCTTAACCAACCACTATTAAATTTGGTGTATATGTACTATACAGGATGGAGTAGCTGCTTTCTATTTGGGACGGTAATCCAGTAATTATATTCCGGTCACGCGAACAAAGTCGCGGGTAAAAGCTAGTAATAAATAATCCCATGTAAAAAATAAATATGTATGAGACATGGGATGAAATTGAAGCTGTTGGGTGTATGTAAAGAAAAGTAAGTCTACCCTTGATGTAGAAAATATTAGGAAATTCATAAATCAAAAAATCAAAAACGACAAAAAAAAAATCTTGAACCGTTTCTTCAGGGTCAGTAACGCGCGCGTAACGTCCCTGGTATTACAGGCGTTTATAGGCTACGGTAACCGCTTACCATCAGGTGGGCCTATTACTTATTTACCACTCGAGTGGTGTAAAAAAATCTAGACAAAATTCAACAATTTATTATTTATATTATATTCGATTTGAGAAGAAGAATTTGTATTTTTATTTATAATTTTTTTTGTTTTTCAATCACCAATTTATACATATATATATGTATATTTTGTAGGGCCAGCCAAATAGAACAACAGGTGAATGCGACGAAGACGCCATGATCCTGGGGGAAGGCGCAAACAACTTCACAGTGTGTGGACAGAATCACGGGCAGCACTGTAAGAATTCACAATATTATATTCTTAATATTGCTTGAAGCTAGAACATTATTATAAAATTAAATCTCTTATTTTTTTACATTATTTTTTTTTAGTATATTATACATTAACGAATGAAAGAGAGAAACGCGACACGGAGGAGTTAGCCGGCGCGAGAGGCACACGGCTGCGCATACGCATCCGAGGCAGCGAGATGCCCCGGATATGGCTCCTGCGTCTCGCGCAGATGCCCCTCGCACACTCCGCACCACATGACTGTCTGCAGTGGTACAGAGAAAATAATGGTACGTTGTTTTACACACATTAAAATATGTCTTTTTTTTATACAACTTAGAATGGCAAACAAGCTGACGGCTCACCTGATGGAAAGTGGTAACCGTCGCCTATAGACATGAGCAGTACCGTGGACATAACAGAGTACACTGTTTCGCCCATGATACCCCCATGCGTTGTCATTTCTGAGGATTCAGGTGTTATTCTTCGGTACCATATAAATGCACTGCTATATCCCATCTTTCAAACCAAAACACAGCCATGCAAATACAACTGCTTCACGGTAGAAATACGAAATTACTTTTGTACAAACTCTGCCTCTGGTAAAAGTTTTATTATTTCTGTCTACCCATTGTTGTCTACTCGTGGCCGTGTGGTCCCGGCATAGAATAGACCACCCCTCCCTTTCCGTAGGTGTTGTAAGAGGCGACTAAAGGAGCTTAATGGTGGAGGGATGGGCAGCAGCATCCCTTTTAGAATATCACCAAAGTCTGTGGTTGCACATCCGCCTGCCAAACATGGTAATAACTGGTATAACCCCCACTTTTCAGAAGGTTATGTTCAGTTGTAGACAAAGCTAGTTGTTCTTACTTATTGACCTAGAATAACTATACTTATTCTTATCAAACAATGGTGTATATCAGTGTTTCCCAACGTAAGGCCCACGCCCCACATGGGGGCAGTTTGGTAGTTAAGGGGGGGGGGGGCAATTAAAATGGACTCGAAGCGATTTTAACCTTCTTGCTAGTGCCAAATTTAACAAAAAAAGTAAGTTAAAAAATAAATGCTGTAAATATTTATTAGGTTTAATTTTGACGTTACCAAAATATCAACTGGGCGATTAGAGTCGTCAAGTAAACTTTGTTGGGAAAAATTATGTATGGGGACATAAAAATTTTAGAAATGTTCAAGTGGGATATGGCACAAAAAAGTTTGGGAAACAATGGTGTATATAATTGACTTCAGAGAAATGCCAGTAATATAAACTCATATTACGAGATGAGATTCATTCAGAGCGTCTTCAAAGGGCTTTTACGCCAATGACAGGGCTTTATAACTTAGAAATACAAGTGTCTGTCAGTTTGTAAATACAGGTTGAATTATTACAGTGTTGTTATTGTAGCGGTTTTATCTCACTGGATGGAATTATTTTTTTTAATGGATGACAATGGAATTGTAAAGCCGAATGCGCTAACGGTATACACTGGCGGAGTACCAATGAGAGATGATAGGTGAGAATGAAAAGGCAGATCAGTTAGCCCATTGTGAAAAATACACCAGGAATTCAGCACGATGGTTTCCAGGGGGAACACGTGGTGGTCGACCTGACAGGGTATAATGCTAGCAGTTGCACTGGCAGTCCGCATTACTAATAATCCTTTCCTCCCAGATGGTATGATTGTGGTTCAGAGTTAACGCTGAGTATCTGTTTCGCCCATGATACTCCCCATGCGTTGCCATTCCTGAGGACTCAGGTGTTATTCTTTTGTACCCAGTAAGTTCACGCTAAATTGGTCTAAATAAGACCACAATATTTTTTTAGAAATTCTAATCTGTCTGTCTGTTTGCGGTTTTTTTTTTCAGTTAGGTTTTTGAAGGTCTAACTTAAAATTTGGAAGTTTCGTAAAAAAAATGGTTCGCCGTTTAGAAGTGGTAAATTCAATTAATTTTTCTACTTGCGTATTCCACACGAAGTAGCAGGCAAAAAGCCAGTAATATAATAAAATTGTGTCATAAAAAATAAAATGAAAGGAAAAACAAAAAAAAATACAAGTTAAATTGAATTTTCTTTCATTGTAGTTACTCTTTTCCTTTCTTCTGTAATATTATACTAGATTTGTCATATTTTCTTGTGTGTGCTATATATATATATATATATATATATATATATATATATATATATATATATATATATATATATATATATATATGTATGTATGTATGTGTATGTATATGTTAATTTTATTATTTCAGCCGTTAACTACTACTGTCCACTATTGGACATAGACCTTCCCAATAAGGGGAGTAATTACCACGCTTGGCAGGCGGGTTGGCAACCCGCTTTTAGGGTAGGCTTTTAGAGATATTTTAAGAGGGACGCTGCTGTCTATCCCTCGCGCTCCCTTAGTCGCCTCTTACGACCACCAGCGGAGTGTGTTGGTTGCTTTGAAGGAAGCTGGCGTGATGATATGGTGATATTTTAAATAAAATACAAAAATTGTTCACAGCACTGTATCATCTCCGATGTAGCGCGGAGAAGAAAGGCGGTTGTTGCCATATTACATAAAATATAAAATTTATTCTAGTGTTGGAATATAAAAGGTTGCAACAGATCTGAAAAAAAATTCAGTTAAAATTTAAAATGCATTCTTCTAGGTACAATAAAAACTTTCAACTACGCAGTCAACGGGCGCCACCTGTCGGGACACGATTACAGAGCGTGCATAAGGCACAACGTGGGCTACTGCTCAGTGAGGTACACGCCGTGTGACAGCCGCTCCTTCAGGATCGGATCTGGTGGCGATCAAGTCCAGAATACCGATCCAGGTTAGTCCACAATTAATCTATATATATATATATATATATATATATATATATATATATATATATATATATATATATATATATATATATATATAATAAAATCGCAACTGCTCGCTGTCTGTACATAGAATAAATATAAGAAAAACTATTATAGGGGGGCTTTGTGAACGCTACAGAACCCAAAACAATGATTTTTAGAATTTTTGTCTGTATGTCTATACGTTCGTGCGCGCTAATCTCAGAAACGGCTAAACCGATTTGAATGTGGTTTCCACTAATGCGTCGCAGTTTGCTCGACTTACTATTTGGTGTTTGTTTCATTTCAATCTGATCATAAATAAAAAAGTTATGTCAATCTAAAAAATCACATATAATATGCTATAAAATAACCGATCAGTTGAATTGGCTGAAACTTTACGTAAGTTGTATATCATACTAGCGACCCGCCCCGGCTTTGCACGGGTGCACATTACATCACATCACATTAAAAACCTCTAAAATTATCAGTGTTTCTCTACTATACTATGCATGTA